GCTTTTTAAAAACAGGACATTGCACCTCTGGCAAAACAGCCAATAAGCACCGGGCATGGATGTAAGATCATGTGTATTCCTGTTCTTTCATGTGCTGCAAACTGCGCCTGACCGAAAACCATGAAAATGCAGGGTTATGGGGGCATGCTACACCAGGCCCAACTTCGAAGGCAAAAGCCATATTAAAACCTACATAACCTGAGTCAGTGGCAATGTTTTTTCCCTTCCACTCCCATGTTTCAGAATGACGCCTGAGAAATGACTGAGTGTGTGAACAGCTGCATGACTTAACATGTTCACACTTCTTCCAATACTTTTAAAAAATCTATCTATCTTTTGGTCACACAGTAACAATACCTTTCTGAAGATGATTGGATATCATTTTTAGAGAACTTGAACAGCAAATTAACAAATCATCTCATATATTAGGGTTTGTAATGAAATGGTAATGATAAGATATTCAAGGTTAGTGCATTTTAAATTGGGATTCAAGAAATCATCTACATTTTTCATGGTAATCTTCCCAATTGAATAACCAGCACCTGTATGAACGTGTTTAACGCCTAGGGCCAAGAGTAATCATGGAGTGCAAAATACTTTTTACATTGGCTGCATTCTGGAACCAAACAAATTTAACTTTAAAATGTATGTAAAGGATTTAAGAATAAAAATAACTTACGAGTATAATCTATGCATAAACTCCTACATATTCATGTTTTTTGAGTATGTAAGCATTAGCAAGTAAGAAACTTAAGAGTTATTAGACTTCTTTGAAAAAAAGCATCTCCTCCTTCCCCTTTAGTTCTGTACATTCCATTTTTTCGCATTGTTACGTACCTTATACGCTGTGTTGGCCTCCCTCCTCTGAGCTGAGGCGCTGAGAAGTGAAACTCAATATGGCTATCTTTACAACTGTCTGAAATCAAACAGCTTGTGTCAAGCCTCGTGGGCCAACTATAACCCAGCGAAACGAGGTAGATTGCATAGGAGGAGAGAAGCAAGAGCAATAGAAAGGTTGTGCATCATCAATTCACCCCTCCCATTTAACTGTCAAACAGGTCTCACAGGCAAAGAAGAAGGAGAGGGGGCAAACGGACACAGGAGATCCTCAGTACATCACACAGAATACAATATACGAGTAACTAACAAATAAAAAAAGCATGGACAATTAGATATGTGTGTCTACTGAGGTACAAAGAGGGAAACGATGTTCCACTGAGAGGTGTAAGGGGGGGGAGGTGATTGAATGTTCATGCCATTGAGCCCAAACAACAGATAAAACATCTGTAATAGGATTGAATCCTCTGAAAGAGAAGACAATGTCCAATAGTGAAAAGACATTACTAGAGAGTGAGTAGCAGATGGACAGAAAAATAATATGTCACAGGGAAAGTATAACTAAGATAGAGAGAGCCGGCAGAGGCAGAGAGAAGTTAGGGAAGGAGAGAAGAGGAACAAGAGGAAAAAAGCTGGAAACCAGGAGACAGCTGGCACTCTAGGGCACGGTGGATGGATAGCTCCTTGTTAGCATAGGCCTGACAGCCTGATGAGAGGGCTGCTGTCAGCCGGCGCTGGCCGATAGGCAGGGCAGAGGCTGGGCTCCAGAGCTGGAGGGGGGGGCTTGGTAGATGAAAGACACGGGTGGGGGTGGTGGCGGCGGTGGTGGGGTCCTCCCTGCTGACTAGTTAGTAGAAGGACTGATGCACCCCCTATTATACGGGCCTATGACAAGGCTGCACTCATGCCTGGCTGCCGCCCCGGCACCACCACCGCATGGCTTTTTAAAAACAGCGGTACCATTCACCTCTGGTCACAAAACAGCAATAAGTCCACCGGCGCATGGATGTAAGATCATGATTTATTCCTTTGCTTTCGGCTGCTTGCAAGACGTGGCAGCCATGTACCGACAAACTGACATGCAGGGTTCACTGGGGGCTTTAGCACAGGCTGCACCTTCGAAGGCAGAATATATATAAATACATGAGCTGTGATGTGTTGGATTGTTTTTTTTTTCCCTTTCCCACTTTCTTTCCCATGTTTCTGAGACGCTGGAAAGGCGGAGGTGGTGGAAAGCAGCTGGATGTACCTAACGACGTTTCCAACAATATCTTCCAATATCTCCTTTAATAAATCTACTATCTGTTGGATCAGACAGCAGAAACAGAACCCGTCCCTCAAATGAGTGATAACACTCATTTTAAGAGAACTCTGACAGCAATTACACATCTCTCATCCTTTTAGGCGTTTGATCACATGACAATGGCGCGGGTAATGAGTAGAGATATTTTCGGTTAGGTGCATATGTATACACTTAGCTGGTTTCAAGAATCATGGCAGCCATTTGTGCTCCAACCAGGAGGTCAATCTATCCCAACAGCAAAAAATAACGCATCACAGGAGCGGTAATAACACTAGGCCAGCGAGTAATCCCACTGGGGATGTGAAAATACCTTTGTTCTACATTGGCTGACATATATAGCAACCAAACCAAAACACTTCTCCCTGAGGAAGATGGATGGATAGACGAGGGGATGAAGAATAACAGAGGATGAAAGGCTTACGGAGGTAAAGGTCTGATGCTAGAGCTCCTAAAATATTCTGCTGGCATATATTTGCAATAAAAGCAAAGCAGGGTTTGTCTTCAAGTTACAGAAAGCTGTAAATCACAGACCTTCTGTGTGCTAAAAAGGAAAACATTCTCACCCCCCCTGAGTCTGATAATTCACATCATGTTCTGCTTGTGTCACAGCACAAGGTGCTGCCTCAGAGGTGCTGCCGGTCTGAGCTGAGGAGGGGGAGACAGGTGAAATTCTCAGAGGGATGGGTAATCTTTACAACTGCTCCTGATTATAGCTCCAAAGAGAGACCTTGGGAAGAGTTCCCTGCAGTGCCAAACTCCACTAAAGGGCCCCAGCTGCTAAACCTTCTGCAGACTTGTAGATTGCATTGGCAGGAGCAGCTAAGCTACAGATACAAATAGAAGTTAGATGACATCACTTCCCTCTCCCATCTAATCTGTCATAAACATTTGGCTCTGCCTCATCAGCTGCAAAGATAACGAGGGAGAGGGGGAGACGGACACAGAGAGATCCTCCCTCTCACACACAGAAATGACTCTAAATTATAAGAGTAAGCTAAGACATGTAATAATAGATAATTTAAGGCGTTTTGGACATTAATATGCTGTGCTTATGTGGTACAAAGAGAGATATAAACCCAAGCTTCAGCCTGAATTTCCCAGCCTTTCAGAGATGGGTGACTAAAGGGAGGGGCGGAGGGTGAAGTGGAATGGCTTCAGCTCACTCTGAGCAACTATCAAACCATGTCAGATAAATACTGCCGTCGTAATATTTAGGGTTTGAAATCCATCTGGAATATTGATGAAGCCAATCATGTCCAATCTATTAAACAGTCCTTACTTATCTTAGATTCAGTTGTAGTTGGATAATTTGGCATTCGTATCTTTATTAAAGCATGACGCTGCAGGACTGCAGTTCAGCAATCCATTTAGAAATGACTTCTGAAGTGCAGAAAGCCATGGTAACAAGCAGAGCTGCGTGGTACGAATAAAAGCTTTATCTATCGAAATTATTGATATTTTTACCATCCTTTGGTGTTTTCTTTTTGCTAATGAGAGCACAACATTTTTTTGTCATTTTTCAGTTAGGGAATCCCTTAAGGCAGGAGCTAACACCCTGCTCCAGACTGCTCAACTATGTACAGATATTCATCAATAAATCTGAAAAGACTGCAGCATTAGAATTAAAACGTTGAGGTGAACATTCATTAATGTCCATTTCTGATGATATTAGAGATTATGAGAGAAAATTAAATGATTAGAATATAACACTAAACCATTGATGATTTTTAGAACAGATGGATTCTACGTTTATGGCATTCAAATAATTATATAACACAAAACTACCACTGCTACATAACCTGGTTGTTTATTCGGTTCTCCATCCAAGCATATTAATGGAAAGTAAAAAAAGAAAAAAGAAGTGAAAGAAAAAACTTGTGCTTTGACAAATGTGCATCGGCAGTAATCACAGCCAGGAGAGGACAGTGGAGCAAACTCTGATCCAGAGTTTGGGGAAAATTCAGAAGCGTAGACCTCCATGGGGGTCAGAGCCGCCTCACAAACTCATACAGTCAGGGTTTAAACAACTGAACAGTTTTTTTTCCATTTGGGAATTAAGATCTGAGAATGTAGGGAACAAGCAGAAGAACTCCAAACTGAAGTTCCTGATTAGTGATGATTTAAATTACCATCCTAACTATAGATGTTTGTCCCCTTGTTATATCAAGTTCAGCATCTTAGCAACCATTAACATGCAACCTTTACAGCTCCATCATGCTTCCTTTTGCTGATGGAGATCCTGATTTATATCTCAGCAGGACTCACTATTTGACTAAACTGTCAGTTTGTCAGTGATGATGGTGTTACTGCGCCCCATCGGCTTGCAAGCCGACCTGATCTGAAGCCAGTGGAGGATCTATGAGCGTCAAGCATGAGAGGAGATGACCAGAGGGCTTATCTCAAAGCTGGGTGTCAACTACACCTCAACAGAACCTCAGTAGAACCACAGGCCTTATTGTCCCATATTCAGTATATATACTATACAGTATATGCCTATTAGTGGCCTGATTTCTTTTTATTAAATCTATTCTTTGATTAGCTTATTTTTATATTTCATTTTCTGAGAAACTGAGGTAAATGGTTTATTAAGCTATAACCTCCAACTTTAAAAAGTTATAAAAATATTAGGGATAAATGTGTAAATGAATTAACCTTAGTCTGACAGCAGTTATTGATGTTATTCTAATTTACTCCAAAACATTAAAGCATAAAATCACAAAAACTCTTACAACAGCTTTAACAGCAATATTAATATTTTAAGTCGATGCCCTATTCTAGTTGTTTTCCAGCTTATTTCAAGCCTTTGCCTTCGAGGCTCCATAATCAAAACAAGAGGATGACTTGGGAGGAACCAACTCACAGTGCTAAGCTTCCTTGAGGTAATGATGATGCGCCGTTCGTGCAGCATGCTAGCGTAGAGCTGGAGCATGTTGTTGATGTCCACAGCCACAAAGTACTCAGTCAGGTTCCTCTGGAGATAGACAACAACACAACATGTCTTTAGGCTCTAAAATGTCAACACTATCATCACTGCATAGACTGTGAGAGCCTGATTAATGCTAAGGCGCTGTTTAAAAGAAGAAATGACTAGAGAGATTGATTTACATTAAAAATAAATGGTAAGAAGTGTGTTTTCCAGCTGCATTCATGCCTGTGATCCATCCATAACAGTTAGATTTGGAAAACAGATCACATTTCACTCAACGTCAGCCTGAGAGACTGATAATTGCTGTCATCTTGTGTCCCTTGCCATAAAAATTTGAGCTCGAATTTAAACACAAAAATCAACAAAGAGCATGTGCTCGGTTTGAATCCTCTATGCCAATCACTGAACTTCAACATTAAAGCACAAGCACCGCAGGAGATAAATCTGAAACAAGAGGATGATGCAATAATTTCAAACGGTGACATGTGTATTAGATTAAAAACGATTAGAGGCAGAGATGTTTCCATAAGGGAGGGATTTCTCCATCTCCTTTTGTCTCTTCGTCTCCCTTTTTTCCACGAGCACTTACACTCTCTGGGATGGTTGGCAGTCCATTGATATCCGGGGCGATGAAGTAGGAGTGCTGCAAAAACACAAACATGCAGGAAAGAGAAAAGGGAAGGTCACAAGTGAGGCATAGCACTTATTCAGAAGAGAATGAGGGGAAGAGGGGAGAAAAGGGCCGTTCACTTTGTTGAATGATTTATGGCTCATCTTCTGCTCTGTCTATATGAATTGCTGAGCTGGTGTCTGAACCGTGGCAATGCTTTTATCAGGCCTGCAGAACAGAGAGAGCTGAATAGCAGCTCTGCTCCCAACAGACACACACTGTGGTGATGTCTCCGGTGAAAAACTGAGTCTTTATTTAAGCATTAAAAAGGTTTGTGGAGCACCAACACACACTCACACCAACCAATATGTGCACATGCGCTTCTCTCTACACACACTCAGGTTGTTTAGAGGATCACAGGGCTGCCTGTCTCACTTTGGGAGAGCAGGGCAGGTTCAGTGTTCAGATCAAAGGGGTCTGAGAGAGGTGCTGTTTGCAGGTAGACAAACCACCAAGAGAAACACACTGTTGCGTCTCTCCATACTCACAAACACACACTCCTGAATCCTAGGTACACCTGCATTTCTCTGGGCTATCACTCAACCATCTGTTGCAGGTCGCCGTAAAAAAATAAATCCTGTGATCTCAGTGAAATTTCTCATGCAGAAACTTTCATAGAGCGCTGATTTGTGTCTAATATTCTTGTACTTAAGCAACGATTTAGAAATATCTATTGCTTCCTTGAAAAGTCGAGAATCTTTTCTTGTAGTCGGGGCGAAGACGACTGACATGGGGTGTGACATGTAACAATCAATACTTATAAAACAAAATAAAAACATAATAGAAATAAGAATAAAAAGATAAGTCACAAGAAAATGAAAATCCCAATTAAAAGATTGTTTTCATACAATATTGAAGAAGACAACTTCAATTTGTTATGTTTTTTCATAAAAAACATGACAAAGCCAAGCACATTATTGCAAGAATAGAATCCCAACTATAGAGTATGGAGGTGGCAGCATCATGTAATGGGAATGAAGTAAAGACTGGTGTACTTCACAAATGTCACCAAGAATCTTTGTTTTTTTCTTTTTGCAACAGCTGCCATATATGATTTGAGGGCTAAAAATAGGTAAAATAGGAAATATTTTAGTCTGATCAGAATTTCTTTGTAGGTAAAATGTCTTTTTCAACAATGTATGTAAACCTTTGGTCTTGGCTGTATGGAATAACACAAATATAATAAAACATTAAGAGCAAAAAACATTAGTTTAGAATAACAACTCAAATCAAAGCATCTGGATTACTAATAAAGGACACATTTTTATAGAAAGACCAAAACAATGACATGATTTCACCCATGCAGGAAACATGTGGACAGAATTAAAAAGACTTTTTAATAAAATCATTTCCTAATAGTTTCCCTAAATCTGCTCCTACTTTAAAACACACTTTACATCCAATTTTATTTAACTTTACACAAACAAACTTATTGAAACTGTAAATAATATTTAAAGAAAAATAGCACAGTTCGGAAGAATTTGTTTAAAAATAACCCAAAGGTTTACCCCTTTAAGTGCAAAGTTTACCCTAAACTTTCAATCTTGGGTAATTTTGCCAAATAAAACCTCAATTATTATTATTATTATTTTTTTTTTACAAAATAGTTTTGTATAAGGGAAATACAAAATTGCAAGTTTATTTATTTAACTGAAAAAAAACAGGAATTGAAATTAAATTATTGACAAAGAACTTAATTTAACTTTGTAGTCAGAGTGGATTTAAATATTAACCAAATAAGACAAACTTATTTTTGAAGGAGGTTTTGTTATTGTAATGAAAATGATCAGTTAATTAGATTTAACAAACCTAAGGTATCTGACATTAAATAATCTCTTGATTGTTTTAAATCTTAAGTTCATTTTTTTATCTAAAAATTTGAACATTTGGACTTTTTGTCGGATGTCAATACAAGTGAATGTAGTATTTTACACTTGATAACATGGAAAAATTATTTTACTGGTTTGTTTTTTAAGACTTCTGCTCTGTTAGTGAATAATTTCTTCACAGTAAGTACTAGTCTCATTTTAGTGGTGCAATCCCAAGTTGAATGTTGTTGTTTTTTCCCCATCTTTAGTTTTAAAACAATGTTTTATGCACTGAGTTGTTTCCTATCCACCACCGCATTGTGTCCATTAAAAATTACCATTGGTAGAAGTTTAATCAAACTGGACACAGTATTATCACTGTATTTCTTTAAGGTACTCTCTTACAACTTTACTGGATGTCGTTTTATTTTTGGTTTCTGTTGATTTTTCTTGTAATGGGCTGAAAATTACAAACCTTAATGTCAGTTAATTCAATCAAAGGGGATATTAGATGCACCTTGAGCCCCAATATCTGAGAAATATTAAACAAACACTATATTTTCCTCTAAGTGGGTGTTTATGAAGTGATAAACACTCGGAACAATTATCATAAGTAAACACTTGGTTTATTCCCTGAGGATGGTCATTGTTGAAGATAAGCAGAATAAACACTAGACTGAAACAAACACTCAGAGCTGTGCCTCCAACTCATATTTTCTTTTCTTCCTTTTTTTATTCAAGAAAGAGAAAATAGAAAAAAAAAATTTCTTCTAGTCTAATAAACCAGGCACATGTGAAAAGTTAAAATTTCTCATCTATCATATACAGCTACAGTTAGAGGAAAATGCATGTAATTAAATGTTACCTTTACTCTGGGTTATTATTAAAGACTGTATTCCTAGTTAAAAACAGCTGCAGAAACTGAATTAATTTTATTTCAATATTTAATTTATTTGGAGAATAATAGTCAACTAATTATTAATCAGCTGCAGAGATGCACCAAGAAACCTGCTAATGATCACAAACTGATCATTTTCAGCGTGACCAGTTGAACCACCCACATGTCAGTGAATGCACCACGTAACAGATCCCAGCTGGCAACAACCTTCTTTGCCGCTGATGTCACTGAGTGAAGACAACTTTTTAAGTATCAGTATAGGAGAAGCAGGAAGATGTTAAATGATTTCACTATTTACTGCACTTGTCAAGGTTTGTATTTGCATTTCATTCATGGTGGGAGACAAAAAAAGGACTTTCAGCAGGGGACAGCATGTTACAGAAAAAACTTAATATTTTGAGCTTTTAACCCATTTCCGCTATGTTGAAATTTGAAACCTTTCTTTTACAGTATTGGTGAAATCTTGTTTTTGCGGTTCTTGTTCTTTCACACATCCCAAGTGACAACAGCTGCTATAATCTACCAACCATGTCAGGAAGCCTGTTTTTTTTTTAATTTGTTAGATTTAGCAGACTCTACTTAGATCAAACTTTTAGAAAAAGCTGGAAATCATCCAGTACGTTCTGATTTGTACTTCAAAATTTAGCTCCTTTGCAACATTAAAACCTGTTTATTTACTATCCAGGTTTTATCTGCAAAGAAAAGAAAATCTTGTAATATTTATGAAAGGTTGTAGCATGAGATTTAGCTGCAGCTAATTAATAAAAATGTAATTAATCTAAAAGTTTTAGTTCCTAGAAATAAAAGACCTATGATTCCTAGATCTGGTTTTACGGAGTTTATCGACAAAACTTTACACAAAAATTTTTTTAGTGCGACTAAGTTGGAACTTGTGCGCCGTTTTGATCTGATCTTTGCTTCTGAATATTCTCTGCCTGGGAGTAGAAAGAAAAATGGCTGTCAGCTGACTGAAACAAAGACGATTAAAGGAATATATTTTAAATAAAAGCAGCTGTAGATAAACAAATTATACTAAAAGATCAGGGAGTTTGGTCATACCTCTGAGACTAAGGACAGCTACCAAAAAACCGTATAAAACAACCACAGTGGTGTGTGATTCCCATCCTTTCTTCTTCTCTTACGCTTTGTGTGCTAAATTATGTTCCCCCGTTGGTCTACAAATCCATGGCACTGTGATAATCAGAAGCCACGTTCCTCAGTACAGCCGTGGCTTTCATTGGCTGTCTGTGTGCTTATCAGCCTCTTTTCTTGTTCCTTCGAAGACTTGTTTATTCAGAAAAACACTGAAAGTGGGTTAACTGGAAAGGCATCAAGGAGATTTTTTGAGCACAATTGCCTTTTGCTTTAACCATAAAGAGAAGAAAAAAAAAACAACTTTTGATTTTCAGAGAGAGAATATAGCAGAGTGGAAAGACATTAATGATTTACAAAGTTTGATTGTTTTCCAGAGGAGAAGAAACACACACCAAGGCCCAGGATAGTTTGTTTTTGTTATATTTAAAAACGATAGCGTAGCTTATTTGGCCAAATTGGAAATCAGTGGCTCCCATGCGATTAGTAAAGAAGCAGTTTCATATTTTAAAGCAGCATCCTTCCCTCCACCCGTCTCTGACGCTCACTCATTTCTCTCCACTCACCGGCTCCTTGCTTCGCTGATCTCTCAGTACTTGCCCAGTGGCAATACACAACTGCTCAGTCTTGCACAATAAGACAGAGAGAGAGCAAAACAGGGTTTCACACATGAAAGGGGACACGGCTTCTGCTCTTGGCTGGCATGATAAAATAATAAAAAAAGGTTTCTGTAAGGGAATAATTCTGCTTTATTAATTAAATATTAAACTTGTGGCTTCTCTAGGAATGAGATAAAGCTATCACCTCTGCTCTCCAGGGCTGCCTTCAGAATGAGGCTCTGAGATTCACATAGAGATCTATTCTAGAGATGCACCCATCTGGCTTTTTGGAGCCAATCAAATTCAGATTTTCTCTGAGATGCAGGTTGCAGATTTAAATTTTGAAAAACTCAATGTTCTTTACTAAGGACTATAAACACAGAGGAGAAACAGAACGTGCTGCAGGTTCTTTGAAAGAAGTAGTAGTTGTAAAGGCAGCAGAAAATGTAGAAATGATCAGATTATGTTTAAGCTTCAAAGTATTTGCCTCTGCCCTTGATCTGCTTTTTATTAAACTCATGAGAGGCATCAAACAGCATTGGTTTCATATAGGATGTAAAGATGGAAGTTCTTATTTTGATGCATTTGATGCGAAAAGCCCAAATGTTTCAGTATTTGACCAAACGGCCATTAGATTGGTGCATCTCTTTAACTGTAATTAGATTCAACAAATTACTAAACAGCACAAATAAAGTAAAAAGCTAATATACCTTGGTCATGGAAATATAGAAATGCACCAATCAGCCTTTTCACAGAGGTTCTATTAAATATTAGCTTAAATCGCATAAAGAGAAAAATGTGCTAAATGTTCTTTTATGAAGGCAGCAGACTAGAAAAGAAAACAAAGACATTAAAGCTTAATATTTAGCAGATTTTTAGCTATCAAAAAAACCTTTAACCACAACACGTTTATTCATGGAAATTCTTAGTCGTTATTAAAGAATTACAACAAAGATTTTCCGGCATTTACCCGAGGAGAGAAGAAACCTGCCAGTTACAACCTCTGGCTGATTGATTGGTGCATCTCTTGTTTTTTGCACAAAACACACAAACTTTTACAACTCTCGACTTTAATTACCTGATTTTTTGTCTTTATCTTGTTTTGTTACAAATTCATCTGGGTAATTAGATGTATATCCTTTGCTGCAGAGTCGACTTACAGTTTCTTGCTTAATTGGTTAAAAAAGGGAGTGGTAGTCCTTAAGGACAAAGGCTAAGACCGTGGTCTTTTGATCCCAGCACGGTGTGGAGTCTCCAGATTGTGAGCTTAGCAGACTAGCTGAAAACCTTTAGGTTGTGCTTAAATCGGCCGGGCTTATAGAAGTGACAGTGTTTAATGTTGGAAGCATTCCATGAGAGCTTGTGTCAGAGTTAACTCAAACAGAAGCTGACTTTGAGGGACCCGGGCTCGTTAGGCCGTTTCAGTTTTTTGATAAGCAGGAGACATGATGAGTTGTGAAAGGGCCCTTCATGTTTGAAAGTGTCCAGCTTGAGCTTATCACACCAAAAAAACCCTGTAAGCGCCACTTCTTGTTTCCAAACACAGTGTCAGTCCAGGGCCCCCGTGTGCGTCTGTGTTCCTGCACGCCGAGCCTTAACCTCCTCCCGCTCTCTACTCTGTGTCTCCTCTGCCCGTCCCTCATTTATTCTCTCACATCTCAACCTCTGCACTTTACCGATCTACTTATTTCTGCACGTTCTCATGCCGTCTTGGTCTCTCTTTCTGTCAGTCTCATTTTGGTTCTCATTATCCTTCCCTTTTGCTCTCCGTGTTTTCTGCTTTACATTACCTCCTCACTGTCTCTCAGTCCACTTTTAACTACTTCAGCCGATTGTCATCACCTTCTCTGATGCAACATGCTGCTGCAGTACCTTTCCCTCTTTCTGTCTCCGCCTCAGCTGTCTTGCGTCTGATCTAGCAGAATAGAAGATGTGTACCTACCACGCTCAAGTTGACTGGCGTGAAGGGCTTTGGCACAGGCAGCTCATAGAGAGAATTCAGCAAGTCATTCAAGTCATTTTCCTATGGGAGAGAGGGAAAAGCATGGGACACATGAATCATATTTACTTATTTTGTTGATATAGCAAGTTACGTGTCAATCTTAAGAATGGGAAGGGCACTGCGGCAGACCAGGGGGCAATCCTGCAGCAAGGCCTAAAGCGCTTGACAATGTTCCACTGACATATGTTTAACGAGAAGTGTTGGGGTTAAAAGACGGCTGACTATATGGCTGCAGACGCTTATTACCCAGCGGCGCTGATTTACAGCCAAGAGCGGGCTGTGACTAATTAACCAGAGGGTTCCTGCTCGGAAAACAGGGGCTTAAGGAAGCTGTCAGAGCCCACTATGACCGCAGTACCAGCTTT